AGTTTATAATATAATACAAAACTCCAACGGGTCGTCGAAAAATTAAAACAAAAGGGAGTTGATATAAAATAAAAGCAACTAGGAAATATCATTAATATAACGTAACATTCATTTTGCTATCAGCAAACTGAATTTACAAGAATGGTTGTTATCGCGAAATAGTTCCTGTAACTTGGAAGTTGATTTTGTTTGTCCAAAGCAATTTTATCATGGAATACATTTCTTAACAAATCTGCACATTTTAGAGACTTCAAGCTATTTAATATTAAAAATAAAAACGGAATTGCTTGCTTAATGATACTTTAATTAATATTTAACATTTTAAACCATCACAGCCTTTTCCCAACCCTTCATTTTTAACACAGAAACAAAATACATGGAATACTCCAACAACAAATCACAGAAAATAAAATTAGCATATTAAATAATTAATTAAATAACAACAATCATAGTCTTTTAATGTGCTTTTTATAAAGATCAATTGCTACATATATATATATATATTAATAGTATCCATTTTGAATTAAAGCTTAATAAATGTTTTACACCTTTTGTAATCATCGTAAACTTAATCGAAACGTGATGATTCACAGAAAGTGCATTTTTAGATATTACGGTAATACTGTCTCACAACAGAATATACAGTCTGTCACAAAAATTTGTGAGGTCTGATTCACGTTTCAGTATTTATGCTGGTAATATTTTAAATGTGTATTCAAAACTAAGTACATCTACATTAATTTTAATCAATTCTGAATCGGTTACAATTATAGCTTCGTCCAGATATTTAGCGTTCCATCCCTGACATACTTGTTTCTTTACAATCTTTTTGTTATTTGCTTTACCTTCGAGTTCCACTTGAAACTTGTACTTTTTGGCATTCGCTTGACTTCCCACGTACTCAGCCACAAATTCGTCGTGTTCTTCGTACCAAAAGTACTTACAAACAAAGATCGAATTGTACACAATTTGTATCCAAAGTTCGTCTTTCAGTAAACCCTTCCTTTTGGTCGTATCACTAACGAAAACGCAATCCTTATGATTTTCATTTAAATGTTTGATTAAGTTAGAAAGATAATTTGTAAAGTCACATTTCACTAACGGACACGGAAACTGTCCGAATTCGCAATCGAATTCATGTGTGGTGATCTCAGTTATTTTCATTTTTATTGTGCAACCCCTAAACATATTTTTACAGTAATAATAGGGCGTTATGGATATCCTTGTATCACACTGGGCACAGACGCGTCCTCTACAGTTCTTGCAAACCGTGTGGCCATACAAGCATTGAAATACCTCGTTTTCTGTAGGATTTTTACAGTGATCACAGGATATTCTTGCGGGATGATTCTCCCCAATTGCTTCATAAAAGTCTTCGGCTGACGACTGGACACTTACGTTACTGTAAACAGTGTCGAGGGTTCTTTCTTTCGTCTCTAAAGAATTTGAAGAAGATTGATATCCAGAATTACAATTCCTCTGCGGTTCATCCGTGGATGAGTTGGTTTTGTCCAACTGTTTCAGGTACGAGGGTGTCCTACCCAAAGGGCTACTTCTACTAGACGATTCACTGTTATCATTTACTACGATGAGAGGCAATCGTTCTTCGCTAAAACTCGTCGCCGCGTGATTCTTCTCCAACTCTAACCGATAATTAGTTTGTTTCAAGGAGAAATACCGGTACCTATACGAGCAATATTTTTCGTGTTCTGACCCCCTGTTAAAGGGGTATTCGAAGGTGCATCCCTCCGACGAGTATCTGCATTTAAACCGGAACAAACTCGCGACGGCTTCGTAGCTCAATTCGCGCACAAAATTCAGTCGATTGTCTTCGGGAAGGAGATTGAAGCATCTTCCACAAACGTGAGTACCGATTTTATCGATCATCACGGGACTCACACTGAGACTTCCTTCGCATCTTGAACACTTCAGGTCGTCAGAAATTTGCTTCGGTAACTTCATAACTGATGTGTATGACAAACTATCCGGAACGATATATCGTGCGACACTTCGGCGTTGTACACAAACTGATGAGTTTAAGGTAACACTTGAACTGAATTTTATCAAGACTGATAAGGCGCACACATCGCACATACTGTGTGTTGTTATCTTTCGACGCCATTTACTACAAGTACGTAATAAATTGTGGATATTTTTTAACACAGTTACACACATACATGCATAGGAATTGCCCTGATAATAAAAATGTTCCTATAGTGGCGAATTGTGTTCCAATAAAACGACGAAAAGTAACTACTATAAAACGATGACATGTACTCATAACGTCGTATGTACCAGCACTGTTTTCTATTGCATGTACATGTAGGTACGTGTACGCACGGACCTTTGCCAACTTTGTTACTACTACAACACGATGTATGAACAAAATTACAAATATTATATGCATAATTTTATTCGACATAGGTCACGCTGATAAGCGTACTTGTCATGTATTTCAAATAAAAGTACTCATTTAGAATATTTATTTAAATACTTCTGACGACATTTCAAATGCCAGTACTTAAATACCGATTTGGGAATTCCATGTAAAGACGGTATTTTATTTGAAATGTTGAATCAATTTTAAAATACGAGGTATATCATTATCAAAATTTACGAAACAATAGTAAAAAAAATTTTCTTTAATCATAATACCTTCAACCTAGCAATTTGTAGAATAA